TCAATGCAAGCACAGAGTGAAGAATTATTCCTTCTGACTTCTCATCTTAGAAAGCTTCACTGAATAATTACCTCTTTCAAACACTAAAGTATACTTTTGCTGTCATTTTAAGATAGTTTGTAAAGATGCAGATACGTGAAGCGGACCCAACACCTGCAACATGAAACAGCCATGACAATCCTTGTGCCTGTAGATCTATTACTGATAATTCCAATATTGTTTGTTCAGAAATGGTGAAAAAATCTTCTTTTAAATTATTGTAATAATAAAAATCTATTTTTGTAAAGATACGTTTCTTTTTTTTTTTTTTAAGCAAGACTTTTTCCACAAGCAAAGAGCTTTGTATGCTATCCAAGATCTGCCTGTTGTTGAGAACTACAAAAAGCATCACTACAAAATCAGGAAATATGACAGTTGCCTCAGATAAAATGCTGCATTTCTAGTACTCATCCTAGTTTATCTATCAGTATATTAGAACTAGTCAAACACTATCAAAATACTGAGCAAGTTTCAAATTACACTTCAAGTTTCCAAATGTCAGCTTAGTTCTGCTCTTTTCTAGCTGCTCCTAAGATCATGACCATTATTATTTACCGTTTTGTCCAACCAGAAGCCTGTCATGAGTTGTAATAAATAAAAGTTTGTGTTACTAAAATAAATTACAGAACTTCGTGTTAGATCTTTCCTCTTAGACCTAGCTATTACCAGCATCCCCTAGTCTGACCAGAAGGAGCACTCATGGAACCAGAGTAATCTATTGTTTCACATTATTAAGGGTATCAGAATTTGGGCATCTATGAAAAAACATCATATGTAAGTGGAAGTAAAATATTACCTTACCAATTCATAAATGGACAGGGAAAGTCAAGTAGCTATTTTTATAGTAAATCACAGAGCAATTTGGTTTGGGGATAGAAAAATCACAGGACTATTTCCCAGTTATTTTTTCTAAATATAAGGTATGCTTCTCAAAATTCCTTCTTTCTGCCCTACACTTCCTTCTTTCTGCCCTACACTAGATTACTCAACCTGACGTGCAAAGTCAGTCATACGATCCTGTAGAACAGACTCCTTCCCTGAAAACACAGTTGTTAATTCCATCCTAACGATAACTTCAAAGCAGAAAGTAACTGTTCGCTTCAATCTACTCTGTTTTTCAGCAGTGCCTATCTCACATATTCAAGCTGAACACTTGATTTAAAAGACCAGGTCTACGCTATAAATCCTTCCTGATATAATACTTCAAAGAATCACAATCCTAACTGACATTTTTATACCACAGAAGGAGACTTTAGTTTTCATTTAGGAAGCTGGGAAAGTCACAGTGGAAGAAAGTCTTTTACCAATACAAATTGCAGTTCTATTGCAGATTTTGCTAATACAGTGATATCAGTAAGTCCAGCTAGACTTGGACTTATTAGAGGGAAAGGCATAGCATAAGTTATTTTATTCAAAATGAATAGGAGATTAACCTACAGTCAACCCACGTCAGAGTCATAGATGCAGAAACATCAGCATACACTTGAATCAGGTCTGAGAGATATTTTAAATGGCACTAGCTACCACAATTTAAAACCTAAGATCCACTTTTTCTGCCTTTGTTCACCCCATACGTGGTACCTGAAGTAATCTGCAGAGTTCAGATGTAAGCTCCAGAACTCTCACAAGCAAAACTATACGTATATTCACAGGCAAGACAGAGGCAGCTAGCACCTTGAGCCTTCCTGTGGGAGCAGGTTTTACTACTAGAGTGAACACTTCACATAGGAGCACTCCAGCCATTAAAGGAATCTGTCTTCACACTCTACTTCATAGCGTAGGCAACATTCTTCTAATTAACATTCAGGAAGAAAACATGTCTTCTGTTTGCTAATGGAAACTACTTCAGCGCCTTTTCCAACTATACCACCATTAAGTATCTTCTGTGCCAGTGAGGAAGAAGGACGGGCTGATTGAAAAACAATATAAGTCCTGGATTCCTCTCCTCATGCTGTTACTTCTAAATCGCTCTGGAAGACACAGGGACTACAAAGACAAAGACTTTCTTTTCTTTTTCCTCCACAGGAAATAATAGTTGAAAGAGTATGCAAATTCTCCAGATAGCTAAGGCAATCCTGAATAAATTAAACTATTCCTTTGGATGTTAAAGAAACCTTAGCCTCCCCCGGAGAAAGGAAAAGACGTATTTGGTAAATGGCTGCATGTATCAGCTTTACAAATATTTAAAATACAGGATGGCTAAAAAAAGCTGTAGCTTTCACCTGCCTACGAGCACAGGCTTAGAGAGTTAGGCTGAGAGCTAGGTCTAGTCAAGAAAAAGTCATGAATGCCTCCACAGAAAGCTCCCGAGAGGCAGTCACAGGACCTATAAACCTCCTTTGTAACAGCAGCTGGGCTAAGCACAAGGCTGTGCTGGAGCTGGGGGGTGGAGCAGCTTATGTTCTGCAAAACGAAGAGAGACAAAGCTGATGCCACCCAAGGCCCTGGCAGAGGGAACGTAATGCATTCAGCTTGAACAATACCCACGCGCAGACTCCTCTTCCTCCACCTGTCCCCCCTTCACATTCGTACTATATTAACAGTCAGGCGGAGGACCCAAGGTGCTGGTAGGATACAAGTCACCTTCGACACTGCTGATGTCTGGATGCAACTCTGCCCTGGCACAGTTTCTCTCTTGCAATAAAGCCGTGGCATCTGCTTCATTTGCTCCTGGGATTGAGACACTAACGGTGAAACACAGACACATAAACACAGATATGACAGTTCCCATAAAAGTTATGCGGAATACGTCACTCAGTATAACAAGAGAACTTACCCTACCCAAGGTTAAAAAACCCATTTTTTTTCGTTATTCTTCATGAAAGCAAAATATGAACCCTCATTTTCGCAAAGGGCTAAAGGAATATTCCTTTATTTCTTCTTTTCTATTTGAAAATTATGCTATTACAAGTATTTCGGACATATGTTAATATGCCTTATATCTTTCAGACACTCGGAAATCCACAAAGGAACTAGCAGAGGTGAGAAAAAGGAAGTCTGTGGGTTGAGGAGAAAGGAAAAGGGTTCCTGAATACCTCTGCCCCCTGCCCAAATCAAATAAACCCTTTGTCCCATTAATGCTATGGGAGGGACAGTGGATCCTAGGATCCCAGTTCTGGGCTACATGGATCCTAATACTCGGCCTCCCAAGTTCCAGACCCTGGCCCTTGCGCCTTCAGACACTGTTGGCAGGCTAGCCAACCTGAAACCCAAGCAGGCAGCTTGCCACGGGTCTTCGATTAATATGAATCTGACACTGCGGTGGTTTGTAGTTTTTCCTCTGTCTAATTACAACTCAAGGGATAAAAGAGGTACCATAATACAGCTGGGTAACATCCATGTCCCAGCACTACTTTGGGAATATGTTTTTACAGCCAGGAGATTGCAACCAACTTCCTATAAGCTTAAGACTGTTCTAAAAATCTCCAACATGACCCGGCCCTTCTCTCTAAATTGCATCTGGAAATACAACCCTTCTGCCCAGGCTTAAACCCATCTACACACAAGCTTTGAAAGATCCAGTGCCAATATCTTGCTAGTAAGTTCAAATACAGGGTCTGCCAGCAGATTTGGGAAAGCACGCGTGAGCAGAGCGCTCCCTCTAAATTACGTAACGTTGAAGGGAAGGAGAAAGAAACTGAACTTTTAGAATATACAGAATCCATCTGATACTTTCAGCATCATGAAGACATGCACTCATAGGTATCTACTTCTGTTTCTACCTCCTACATAAACTACTGGAAAAGGTTTTCTAACCAATTTCAAAACTGTAATAGACATATTTTTTAAAAAGCAACAAACAACACCCCCCACCCCAAACTAGCCGACAGAGCTAGAAAAGGTTTTGCATCTACCTGAACTGTTGAACAGTGACCAACACTGTCACTAACTACTAAAGAGACTTCTGCCTTTGCTCATTCCTTGCATGAGAAAGCAGTAATTTTAGATAATAATCATACAGGCCATGGTAGAACAGTTAAGAGACTAGAGGCTTAATTTTCCAAGATAGGTTGGCAGGCAATACTACTCTGAAACCTGGAAGGCTGGGGAATTTATAGCAATACTTACAGCATGGAATACTTAAATAATCAAAGAGTCTTCTGTGTTTCAGGTGTTCCAGAAAGCAAGCTAACTTACTGACCCCCAAGACAATCCCCTTCATTTTCTTCTATTTTTCCCTCTCTTGCATCATCAAAACAATGTTGTTCAATCGGATTGTTTTAATTAAAATACACACTGCCTACCACTTATTTTCCATTCATATTCAACAGGAAAGTATTAAGGTTCTCTACAGATTAAGGAAGCTTGAAAACACTGTTTTGACTCTCTTCCTTTCTTTTTACAGTTTAGGGGCCATTTAACTTCTGCAACGCTCTCTTCTTCTCCCTCAGAATTACAACAACAAAATGACACGAAGTTTCTCACTGTATAAAACCAAAATAGGCCAATTAAAATTCTCACATGAAATAGAGTAGGTGTTTAACAGTTAACTTTTTAAATTATTTAAAAGAAAATGTATTTTTTCCCTAAGGAACTGTATAATTTGGGATAAAGTTCATTAACTCTCCACAATATAGACAACTCCAAACAGCTGAAGCATTTTAAGTATTGGAAAATAGGGTGAAAGAAAAGCAGCAACGATTTCCCAGATTAATAATACTTTTATTAATAACGTTTAAGAATGACAGTTTCAGTAAGTTCAATTTATTAAGTGTCCACATAATTTTTTTTTTATACTCCAAAATACCCAACTTTCACAATTTCAAGTTTCAGTGCTTTGAGCTAAAAACCAGGAGCATGTAATAGTGAATTCCTCCAACATATTCAGTTTGCAGAGTCAGAAGGAGTACTGGGATTATCAAAGTTTGACCTCCTGTATAACATAGGTTTTGGGCTTCCCTGATTTAACTGCTGGTTTAGTCCAGTAACCGGGGGATTTTCTTTAAGAAAAACACCAACACCGCTGTTTTACAGAACACAACCAACAAAATTAGCAAGCAGCCATACTACTTCTTGAGTTTCTTTTGAGCAGCCTTCTTCTTGACCATTTGTAATCTTTTCATAGCATTGAGCTGAGATTCCTGAGAAGTCGGGCCTTTCAGGGAGGCTGGCTGATTACCAGTATCTGCCGCGGTTTTGCTTGCGTTGCCCCCGCTGTTACCTGCGGTCCCGCTGCTGCCGTTCCCGCTGCTCACCTGGCTGCTGGTGCTCGGCACGGTACTGCTGGGACTAGGGAGACCTACTTTGCTGACATTGTCGCTGCTTACCGAACGGCTAAGAGTGGTTTTCCCCAGTGTCAGAGGTGGAGGAGGTTTCAGCTGAACGGGGTTTGTGCTGTTGTTAGCAGGAGCTACTTTTGACCCTAGTCCTGGTTTGGAAGTTGCCAACCCTGACAAACCCACAGGTTTCTGGTTATTGGAAGAAGCTGCAGGTTTCCCACTGGCGCTCTGTGCTGTTGACCCCAGTTTGGCAGTTGATGGGTTGGCAGAGGAGGTTTTGGCTGCAAAAGCAGCCCATCCTGTAAGGCCACTGGTTGCTGAAGAGGAAACACTTGTACTGGCTGAGTTCCCTGAAATTGCTGCTGAGGTCTGAAATAAAAAAAGTATTCTTGTTATAGTAGCATCTATTTGTGTGACTCATCACAGCAGGATTAGATTGAGCCTCTGTTTCAGTTCTTTTCCCAGGAACACCCAGCGGACAATATTTCATCACTGGTCACTACAGTTAAAAGTATTGACAAGGAAAGGATGACAGGTGCAGCCAACTTTTAATTTCCCAGCCATGCAAAACCAGTATTACCTTTTCTTCCCTTTCTTCTATACAGCTAGCAGGGTATCATACAGCATTGCGACCTCCATATAAACTCTGAAAGATGGTTTAACTGAAGTAACTACAAGAAGCCTAAATTTGTGAAGTATAAAAAAAGAGAAGGAAGCCACCACCTTTTATTATTTACTGTGGTTACCTAGTGTCACTTTTTAACAAGACGGCAGATGCTCAGACAAAAATCAGACACTGAGCAATTAAGTATTGCATTTATTACTGTCTTGTGGACACTTGTAGCAGTGTCTAAACTTTTTCCTTTCCTTCCCTTCCCTCCTCTTGGTTCTCAGCAGCCTGTACCATAAATACAATTTAAAAAACAATAGAAAACAAAGCAGTTACTGGACTTCTTTCCTGCAGTCTTCCCATTCAGGTACTGCAAAAGACAAACCTCCTGCAAACAATGGTTTCCTTGCCTGCAAAGTGCTGTACACATTAGCTGCAGTTCCCACACCTTAAATCCTGTCATCCCCAGTTTTCAGACAGGGATAATACACAACATTGAAACCAGAGTTATACCAAATGTCAGTGTCAAAACAGAAATTAAAACCCTCTATTCAAGTAATACCCCTTCTATAATACATGCAGACAGTTTCTAAACAGTAAAGATGATGGATGAAATCGGGCCTCACTCTTATAACCCTAGCAGAGTTAGCTAACTCTGCTGAGGTGAAAAAAGTTATTCACAAGTAAGTGCTTGGGCAATAGCCATCACATTATTCATGATGGTCTGCATACAGGCAAAGCAACGGCAAACATAACTCTGAGCACATGAATAATTGCTTTGTTTCTGAGTTAAAGATGTGCTTTCCTAGGTAAGGGTCATGCTTTGTCAGACTACAAATAACAATGTTATTTGTTACATCACTTCTGGTTTACCACCTTTGACCAATTTATGACAATATTTGCTAAATAACTTGGAGAAAGAGAAACATGAGGCAACACATATAAGAAGCAGCAGTCTCTTAAATTAGATCTCACAGAGTCAGGTAGAGTTTCCTTACTAGAGAATCTTAGAACCACCTAAGCCAGAAAAGAGCTTCAAGGTCATCAAGTCCAACTGTTAACCAGCACTGCCAAGTCCATTATTATCATGAGGAGAAACCTTCTAACTATAAACACATGCATATGTTACTTGACCACAGAGGGAAAATCATATCTTTTACACAACACAAAATCACAGAATGATTTTGGTTGGAAGGGACCTTACAACATCACCTTGTTCCAATCCCCACCCACTACGGACAGGGACACCTTCCACTAGAGCAGGTTGCTCAAAGCCCCATCCACCCTGGCCTTGAACATTGCCAGGGAGGGGCCAGCCACAGCTTCTCTGGGCAACTTGTTCCTCTGCCTCACCACCTCACAGGAAAGAGTTTCTTCCTCATGTCTAATCTAAACCTTCCCTCTTTCAGTTTGAAACCATTACCCCTTGTTGTATCACTACCTGCCTTTGTAGAGTCCCTCCCCACCTTCCCTCCAGGCCCCCTTTAAGTACTGGAAGGCCGCTATAAGGTCTCCCTGGAGCCTTCTCCAGGCTGAACAACCCCAACTCTCTCAGCCTGTCCTCACAGGGGAGGTGCTCCAGCCCCCTGAGCAACTTTATGGCCCTCCTCTGGATCCACTTGAGCAGGTCCATGTCTCTCTTGTGCTGGGGGCCCCAGAGCTGAACGCAGCACTGCAGGGGGGATTTCAGAAGAACAGAGCAGAGGAGGAGAACCACCTCCCTCGACCTGCTGGCCACACTTCTTTTCATGTAGCCCAGGATGTGATTGGCTTTCTGGGCTGTGAGTGCACATGTATGAGGATTTCTACTTGTACAAAACACCATTTAAAATAATCCATAAATTCTCTCTCTTGTAAAATAAAAACACCATCAAGAGCTGGATGCTTTAGGGACTTATAGTTGAATTGAGGGTTTTTTTCCCCACTCTTTTAGTGTTAAAGCAAAACCACTATGTTATGGCATTATTCAGTACACCTAGTATAGCAGACTACTTTCATTGATGGTTCTTGTGAGAAAAGATTGGTCTAACTGAAAAGATAATCTATGCAGTGAAATGTAAACTGTTCCTCTAGAAAATTTAAAATGCGTTACCTTGACTTCTGTTCTTTTGAATGCTAGAAAAGTTGGTGGGGTCTCAGGTTTTAACTTAATTTCTGGCTTCTTAACCAACGGATCCTTCACAGCTGGTACAACTGAAACCACTGCAGGAGCTGGTTTTTGAGGTGGTTTTTGTGTCTTTTGAGCCTGTATAAGTGATAGGAAAAAAACCAAACCAAACCAAATTAGTTATGGGTACCATAACATTGACTGTTTTGACTGTTAACAAAAAGCATGAGCATTATCAGATGGCAAACCAGCCTTTACAAGCTGAATGGTGCCTGAGAAATAAGGCAATAGGGGATGCAGAGGTAGTGCTGAGTATGGTACTGGAGACAGAGTCCAGCCAAAAAAAGCATACTGAACTTCAGCGTGGAAAGAGAGGCAGTATTGAGACTTAAGGAACAGGAAAACACTGGGCCTTCACAGAAATAAGGCAAAGACAGGTGAACCTGAGGAAGACAGGGACATAATCCATCAGTACTGGGATGCAGGCTGCAAGAGTCTGCTAAGAAGTGGCAGGTGAAATGGTAGAATTTATGCTGAAAGAAAAAAAGAAAAGGGCATATTGAAGGCGAACGTTAAATGGCTGCAATGGCTATCCAGTGCAGTAACTGACCTAAAGCAAACACTCCTCTGAGTTCAAAGGCCTGATAATCATCAGAATAATCATGTATTTCAGTCAGGGATGATAACTCCTAGACCAGGACTGTACATTGCCTTCTTTTCTTGTTGGTTCAACAGGTAACGATTTGCTAAGTTATCACAGAACAGTTCAAAATCAGAACACATTTTCTGCTGTCTAAAATGGTTTGATTTTAAAACATCAGAACTGACGTGCAAACTAATGGCTAATATTTCATGAACCCAAAGACACTTTTTCTTACTCTGATGTTTGTTTCTCATAACAAGATGAGTGGGATTCCTATGGGCTCAGGAATAATTAGTCTGTTTAGTCAAGAAAATCACATGCAGATCAATCAAAATAAAGTTTTTTTTTTTTTTTTCCTAGAATGTGCTACCCTCAGCTTATTGTTGAGCCTGGGAACACCTAACAGTTAGGATCCGGACCAAAATTTGCAGTCTTGTCTTGCAGGAAAACAGCCATTCATGTCCAAATCTGAGAAGAGAACTAAAACTGTAGACCTATTTGGTAGACATGTACTAAAAATTGAGTATCACCTGAAATAAAAAGAAGTTTCAACTGCTGCTTACCAAGTAGGAAATAATTGTATTGCACTTTTCTTCACTCAACTTCTGCTTTTTAAAAAGCTTTGTTTAAGAAGCACGTGACAGAATACTCTTTGAGACGCTACATTAAAACACACAGCTGCAGTAAGCGGAGCACTGCTGAGAAAAATGGTTCTCCAACATGCTTCCAAAGATTTCTGCAACCTATAAAATACTCCCACGTACTAGGAATAGCCTGCTGTATTCAAATAGTGTTCATACGAGACAAAAAACTGACTCCTACCATTCTCTTCATCTGCCTGGTACAGCGGGCACAATACCATACAAGTCGAGGATCATTCACTTCCTTGTCTGTCACCTGAGGTTTATGGCAATCCTGGTGGTAGAGATTATGGCACTCCTGACACTCCACTAGCTGATTCCCAGAAGTAACTGTCATTTGCCTGCAGAGCAAATAGTTAAGAACAGATTATGGGAGAAAGCACTTAAAGGATTATCCAACTGTTGCAAATATTGCAAGGCTTAAGATAAAAACTAAAAATACTTTTTTCTTTCATATATATTTTCTACCTGTGGCAAATGAAATGTATTTCTTTTCTTCCTGTATGAGATTTTCCTAACAAATATTTTAGAAATTTTGTATTTTTTAAAGGTAATTTCTTTCAAGAAAATCTAAAACTTCTATATTATTAAACATGCGTATACAACACTTTTGATTTCCCTGTTCAATTTTTATATTAGAAATGTCTCACCTGCTTTGCTTCACCTGGGCTTGTTACTGATACCTCACTGTATACCAATTATGACTTCCTCGTTATATTAGCAGATGAAGGCCTAGTCTACATTTGGATAATTTTGCTGTAAGCTGTAGAGCAACACAGTTCAAGAACAAATAATTTCTTGATGACAATCCTGTAGTGCTTTCTGTTACAGGATTTGAAAGCGTCACCCTCCAAGCTGTACACTATTTTAAAGATGTTTTATTAGCCATCCTTTTGGTCCCCACTACACAAACAGACACTTGGAATTTGAGATAATACCAGAATCATGGAAAGATGGAACAGAAAGGATTAACTGTGCAGTCTCGCCTTGAAGCAAACATGTAAGCTGGTGATGAGGACTTAATTTTGCGTGGGCCTCTGGTGAAAGTAATCATGCTGTATAAATGACAAATTAGTGATATACACATGACTGGAAGTATGTCTGTGAATTAGCCAAATACCATTTTCCTAATGATTTCTTCTTTCAGATGACAAATCAGGCTATTTAATTGCTAAGCTGCTTTTACTCATATCCCCAAGGAGCAGGTACCCAGGTAACCATGGAAACTCTATTTGTAAATGGGTGGGGAAAGGTAATACCTTATTTCTTTATATAACAGGAAAATGAAGTCTGAAGGTACTGTCCATATGAATACCAGAACATTTTCTAAGAAATATTTCTCTTTTAAATGGGCCATTTAAAAACAGAGGGAGAAACCTTTCTGAAATTCCAGGGCCCATTATTTTAGATGCAGGATATTTCAAAAGCCATTTTTTTGGTTATTCCTAAATAAACTGGGTCAGAATAAAAGCAGTGATGTTTCAACCCCAAGTCTCAAGGGAGGAGACTCACCCTATTTTAAAACTACAAAGAACAATCGTAGACTGACTAAAAAGCCATGAACCCTTCATGCCCAGAAACAAGTTAAACCAGAGTTATTTTTAAATAATAAGATAATCAAGAAACAAACCTAATGATTTTTTATCTTCAGAAAACAAACAAACAAAAAAGCATTAATAGAAGAATAAGGTTGCTCTTGCAAAACCAGGCTTTTACAAAGACATTTATTATTTGCTTTTTTTGGGAGACAGAATTCACTATAATCTGCAAACTGCATGTAGTGTTTCTTCTTCAGGTAACAAAGGAGCCATATAACTGGTGAGTCTTATTTTTCTAAGATCACCAGGTATGGGAGAGGATGAAGTTACTTTAATACTCCCTCTCTACTTATGCCTAACTTGGTATAAAAGAACAAGAAGAAAAACACTACAGGCATTAATGTTCAATACTCCTAATCACTAAGAAATCTGGCACTTAGCAAATCTTGAAGAAACATTTAATGTCTCTAGTTTCTACATCTATTCAAATGCACTCTTTTGCACTTGTGAACCCACAGCTGGGTTCTCGTTAAATTGTCTTCTTAAGCAATACAAATATAAACCCTTTGGCTATGAATCCCACCTACTCTGTGACTGGACATGATATTTTCATTCACAATTGATTGAATAATTGATTGAGTTATTAAAAGATGACATTTTTCTAAATACTATTCATACTTGAGTTATTTTACAAGGGTACCCAGTGCTTTTATATTTCATATATACTGGGATATTATTTCAGCTCAAGATGGCCATCCTCAAAAAGGGCCACATGCTGAAAGCTGAGCAGTAACTAGTGGAATACTACCTAACCAATGTGCTGGATTCAGAAAGTCTGAAACACGAGCACTTTGAAAAACATCCTGTCTAGCATGAGCTGGAGATCGAGAACCACATGATATCAGTTCCAGCAGGTTTCATGTAAAATGAAAACAAATCCTGAGCGCTGGGTGACTGTTGCCATCCTCTCTCTAATGGGTTGTTTCTTTCACTGCTGTGCTTCTCTCTCCCTGCAGCATCAGCTTAATGACAGCTATTTTAGTTAGTCAGGATAGATCCATCTTTTGCAAGAGTACTAGGAATTTGTGAGCACAATTAGCTAGAAGCAGCGCCTTCAGCAGCCAGGTTAAACACTGATTGTGGAACAGATAATGGAACCACATACCTGGCTTACACTCTTCAAAGCAAAGTCTTTGCCATGCTAGGCACAGTAATTGCATTTTCTTTCTTTACTTTGCAGGCATTTCTCATTATGCCTGCATGTGTCTTCCTTTGCCAGGGAAGATGCAAAATTAATAATCCACAGCAGCTCAAGACTGTCTAAACTTTTTTTTAATCTCCTCCTGCCAAATAAGTTAATACCATACTGTTTTTAGTAGCATTTTAACACACTGCTGAACAGGGCTTTGCCCCTTTAGGAGACAACCAAAATGGAATTTACAGGAAGAAGGGTAAAATCAAAATATTTATTTCATACTTGAAACATTTTAACTGTTCTTCCTTTTTCAATGCCTATAATAAGAAATTAAACATTTGAGCTAACATGGGGGTATAACGCGACATGAAATCTCACCAGTCCACAATTGGTTAACAGTATAATTAACTGTAACAATGGAAATTTATCCTCTACAGACTGGAGACACATCCTTATCTGCACAAATGGAAGGACCATGGAAATGACTGAAGAACAAAGTTATAAAGGTTTCCCAACTGACTTAAGCTGAGCTAAAATACATACTGCTTACCAAATGGCCAGTCCCACCTTCCCCTCTGTCCTGGCTCTACATTCCTGCATCCACACAGGTGCCAGCATAAGCATTTACACTCACTAAGCTGCCTGAAACCTAAACCTACTGTAAAACCCAAGTGGAGAGCCAATTGAGAAGCTGATTCAGCTGATCACAAACCTGTGTGGGCAATACACACCCTGAACAGGGCAGGGAAGGAGGTACAATTGGGTGAGCCAAACTGTTCTTTTTGGCAGCAGTGGGGATTTACAGTTATATAAATCATCTATGAAACCAAATCCCAATTCAACTGATTTGATCCCAGGGTAGATATTCAAAAGTGTATTTTATACTTCAGTTAACTCTAAATGTACTGTTAGCAGAACGTTACTAAGATCCAATTTCAGAGCCCTTACTGAAAAGTAAAAAGAAACTGTCTTGACTGCAAGATGTATTTACACTGTTAACTGAAAGAACACACCCATGTGTAAACTAATGTTAAATGATTATGAAAAGAGATATCCATATTATGGATCTCATAATAAAGCCACTTAATGTTTTCAGAAGAAAACTGGTTTGTTTTCTTTTTTTTAAATGCTTATCATTAGCCATTAATATTTTAACTTGTTTTCCAATAATTAAAAAAATCAGTATTTGTCATGATAGGCTTTGCATCAGGTCTAGTTTTATTATTTATCACTTGACCTTTCCTGAAGAAAAAAAAGTTGGTTTTCTCATTAAAGGTTCCATTTTCAAGAAACCAAACTTATTCATGAAGGATGCTTAAATGTATTATTAATTTTGAATATGTGCTTAAGTGATTTCCAGAATAAAAACTAGAGAAAGAATTAACTCAATAGTACACAACAAAAAAAGAAAGGTAACTACACAATTGCAACGAAGCAATGTTGACTTACCTGCAAACAACACAGGCTAATCCCATTTCCATAGCAAAATCATCAGCACTGGTTTCCTCAAAGCTAGATAAATCAGGCATGGATAAATCCTTGCTTGTCTGAACCGTAATAGGAGAGGAACGAGCCTCTTGCTTCTCTAGTCTGGGCTTCTTTGGTGTATCAGCTCCTTCAGCACTATCCCCTTTTATCTATTATGGACACACACAGAGAATGTGAAAATGCAAAAAGCTAATGGATATTATTAAAATGAGAAAATAACTGGAACAATTAGGCTATCAGTGTAAGAAGGGATACTTTTCACAGCTTACACATTCCTTAGATACATGTTTTCTTCAAAATATTTACGAACTAGAAGCTCAAGTCCATTTTTTGTACTTTGCCTCAAAATCCTTGAAAAAGAGCTTTGGGAATCCCACATTTCAGCTTGTTACACTTTAGTAATCTCTTATTACCAAGATATTTAAAATATAGAATCACAGAACAGTTTGGGTTGGCAGCGACCTTTGAAAGTCATCTAGTCCAACCCCCTGCAATGAGCACGGAAAACATTCACAGAATAATTACAACAAGACTTTTGTTGGATTGTCTGAATGCCAACAAGATTGGATAATGCAGCTCACAGGCTATGCACAACTATATGAGTTGACTCACACAGGTTAAAAAGGAGAGCTTTTCTCTAAAACATCTTCAAGTTTATTAACCGAGTTATTTCATTAGAGAACAAAAGTTACTTACTTTATCAGCAGATCTCTTTTCTGTTTCTTTTTTCACCTTTTCTGACGAAGCAGGCTTGCCATTGTTGTTGCCCGAAGGCAAAACAGAAGAAGCTTTAGGCTCTTGCTTACTGGAAACAGGTTTGGTTACAGACACTTTTGGTTGCTCTACTTCCTAAAAACAGAAACAAAAATTGAAGGCAAACCCTACACTTGAGTTACTTCCCAGTTTGCAATTAGTTAGATAACACGATAGACAAACAACATGTCATAGAACATCGATCATCTATATATAAACTCTTTTTTTCTTTTTTTTTTTCTTTTTTTTCTTTTTTTTTTTAAAAAAAACCCAAATCATTTCGTAAATATTTTCATATCACATCGACAAGTTAGTGTGTTTAAGCTGCGGTCAATTATTGAAACCTCCCCTTATCACCCACCTTCCAGAGGAAAAGGTGCTCCTTTTCCAAAGATAGATCCCCTTTGGAACATTAATTAAAAAGGAAAACTTCCCTGCTTTCAAAATTCAAAGAGATAATGGACACAATTTTTCAGACAGAAGGACAAAATACAATGTAAGCTGAAAACACAAGCTGACATCTGATGTCACCAGATAACAATACTTCACTCCCTCATGGAGAAAAATATTGACCTCTGCTTAATCTCACTCCATATTCACCTATCGGATTAACAAATTTAGACCTCAACAGAAATCAATAGTTCTTATTAATGATGCATTAGGGTCAGCAATGAATAAGCAAGCGAGTCTGTAAATAAGTGATTAATCACACCAATGTGCATGAGCAAGGTACCCCCCTCCCAGCTTGGTACAAAGGAGTAATTCTCTGCTGTATACTGGGGTGGGTCCTGAGCCCTGATCTTCAGCCCGCACCAAGTTTGGAGACTTCCTGTTGTATCCAGAGTCAGAAACAGAATTCTTCATCTGCCCAACTGTGGTAATCCTGTGCTCCTTAGGCTGTTCTTGGATTTCATGGTCATCCACAAATTAATCCTCAGCCTGAGAAGGCAAGGAAAGGAATTCTTGATTTTTTTTCCATTTCTGAGCTTTGCAGCCCAGCTGATACTGGAGACACACTGAAAAGAGGAGAACAAAAGATTTCTTCCTCTGGCCTGAGCCTCAGTCTCACCTGAGGGCACGTGACTACCAGCCGAGCAGTTATTAGAATTGGCTTCCCAAACCTCTTTGCACTATTATTAGGCTCCCTGCTTCCTTTAAACCACAAACGAATGCTTCTTTGAGCTCTGACATAGAAGGCTCCTGACAGTTTTGAGACCTTTGTCGGAGGGAACTGCAGTTTAGCTTACAGGGAGTTAACAATTTGAATAGAAAGGAGTTGGACCACACAGTACAAGCATGATGTATGCTGTAGCAGTAACAGTGCCTTTTAGTTATTTGGAACCACGTACACGTAGAAATGAAGTATTACTAATGTATCAGCATACAGACCATCATTAGAACTTACCAGGCTGACTTCTAGGCATCCTAGGGGAGAACACTGCCTCATTACCCATATGGCAATACATAACAATATGAGGATGTCTCTGCTTGGTTATTTCCGTACACTAATTTCAGATTCAAATACTCTTTCTAGCAGGTATTCAGCGATTTTCAGTAGATGAAAAATAGCGTTTGCTCATTGGATGGCAATGGTCTCAACCTGCAAATCATTTCTGCTTTGAACCGTTTGGTGGTTTTCATTCTTGTATGACTTCATCAACAGAATTTCAAGAAAAGAGACCCAGTTTTATCAGTAAATAGCTTGTTCGGTTTTGTATTTATCTGTAGCAAAAATGATCTGTATTTTAAAGACCTTTTTTGCTCTGACTGTAACTGAAGGAATACATAATTTTGGGTTCAACTTGGATAATATGTATAATAGCTTATGAACAAAAATGCCATAACAAATAAAAGAGTGAATAGAAAATGTACTGTTATGAAGTCATGACATTTGCAATAGCGTTGAATATCTCTTTTACAGGTCTTGGTACACTAACAAGGTAAAGAGATTGTTGGGTTTTTTTTCTTTTTACATTAACTTCAATTAATTGAATGGATTATGCTGCATAAAAGTGGAAGGATGAATATGAACTCCAGGGAAGGAGACTCCACAACCTCCCTGGGCAGCCTGTTCCAGAGCTCTGTCACCCTTAACGTAAAGAAGCTTTTCCTCATATTGAGGCAGAACATCCTGTGCTCCAGTTTGTGCGTGTTGCCCTTTGTCCTGTCACTGAGCACCAGTGAAAACGTCTGGCCTCATCCTGTTGACACCCACCCTTTAGATATTTATAAGTCCCCTCTCAGCCTTCTCTTGTCCAGGCTGAAGAGCCCCAGGTCTCTCAGCCTCTCCTCATAAGACAGGGGCTTCAGTCCCCTGATTAACTTCGTAGTCCTCCGCTGGACTCTCTCCAGTAGTTCCCTGTCCCTGTTGAACTGCAGGGGCCCAGAGCTGGACACAGTACTCCAGATGTGGCCTCACCAGGGCAGAGTAGAAGGGGAGAATAACCTTCCTCAGCCTGCTGGCCACACTCTTCTTAATGCACCCCAGGACACCATTGGCCTTCTTGGCCACAAGGGCACGTTGCTGGCTCATGGATAACTTGCTGTGCACCAGGACTTCCAGGTCCTTCTCCGTAGAGCTGCTCTCCAGCAGGTCGACCCCCAACCTGTACATGGGGTTATTCCTCCCCAGGTGCAGGCCCCTACACTTGCCCTTGTTGCACCTCATTAGGTTCCTCCCCACTCAGCTCTCCAGCCTGTCCAGGTCCCGCTGAATGGCAGCACAGCCTTCTGGTGTGTCAGCCACTCCTCCCAGTTTTGTGCCATCAGCAAACTTGCTGAGGGTGCACTCTGTCCCTTCATCCAGGTTGTTGATAAATATGTTGAACAACACTGGACCCAGTACTGACCCCTGGGGAACATCACTAGCTACAGGCCTCCAGCTGGACTCTGCGCCACTGATCACAACTCTCTGAGCTCTGTCCTTCAGCCAGTTCTCAATCCAATGAGTGGACCTCACTGTCCACTTGTCTATCCCACACTTCTTAAGCTTACCTATGAGGATGTGGTGAGAGACAATGTCAAAAGCTTTGCTAAAGTCCAGATGGACAACATTCACTGCTTTTCCCTTGTCCGCCCAGTCAGTCATGCCATAATTACCTTTTATTTTTCCTCAATTTCTGATTCTCTTTTAACATTTCAGCTATAAAAGACAAAACTAGGAATAGCAGGAGCTTTAAAAAGGCATAGAAAAACGACCCACACTCTCCAAGACCAATACCTTCTGAGATGGACGATAGCTTGAGTCAGTTCCTCTGGCCAAAGACTCATCAAGAAGTGCTTTCAGCTTTTCAGCAGAGTCCTTACTCTTCGAATGTAAGAAGCCCAGGGCTTTCAGAAAAATGGGATCAAGCTCCAAGTTCACTGTAGCAGCCATAATGGTGTCTTTGGAGGAAGGTGGGGGTGGGGGGAGAAAAACAACAACAACTTTATTCATCTGGAGCATAACTCAAACAGCGTGTGGCTAACTATCACAGATTATTTTTTTTTTTGTAAAATGAATTTATATTAAATCACAGCAAGGATGATATATGAATTAATTAACATCATTAGAAGATGACTGATTGTGAACCTCAGAGCTGCAGAACTTGAATTTAGCTTTATATTGAAATTATGTCAAATTCGTTCTTTGGCATATCTGATGTTCAGAAATTAAACTCATCATGTTTACATAAATGGAACAAATATTCCATATTCTTGATATTCCATACATACAGAATATTGAAAAGTATGCAAAATAAGTGTAAACTTCAAGAAAAGCAATTACTACCCTTCTCCTTAACATTATTTGCATACACTGATTTCTATCTCATTGCTCATTTAATAACAAAGAAAAATCTCTTACCTGTAGAAAAGTTAACTTTCGAAACTTCTGAAAAGAACAGCTCATTGTAACATGCAATATAAGACATATAAAACAGCCAGTATATGATTTTATATACCTATTAAATTTAAAAATTGAGAATGTGTTTTTCAGATTTTTATCTGAAACAGTGAGAAAAGTTATAACTCAGATTGTGATTTATCCAAGTCCCCTTGTGATAGCCTGGGTTTTCTAGTTTGTTTTTTAGTCAAGTAACAACTATTCAGAGCTCTAAGATGCCACAGCGTCAGTGCAAATGGAATAAAGTGAGGAAAAAGTTAGAATGAATTAAAAAAGCAATGTTTGCTTCATGGCAATACACTCCCGCACTCTGAAGCCTCCTCTGTTAACTTCTTTAACAAAAGCTCTAAGGAACTGCATTTACATCAGAAATTGTCACTACAAAGATAGACAACTCTCTAACTTAATCAGTAATTAACAATTAATAATGTAAGAAATAACACGGGAAGGGAAGTTTCCTGCTCTTTTCCAAAATGGATGAGCAACGGTATTGTTAATAATTCTTTCAAATCTCATTTGAAACACATCAGGACATTTTTTTTTTTTTTAATACAGTAATCCAGAAGACATTCTTGAAAAAGCTTTCATCAGTTCTGCTCAAAAGCACAGCCTGGACAGCTTTTTCAGCTGGAGCTTCCAAGGTTTTGTCTGATGAATTCCTTTTGATATTCAAGGCAGTGAACTTTTACCTCTCTGGCCAAAACACCAACAGTGGCAGCCTGCTCCCTCAACACTCGCCTAGAAGTCTCCAGGAACCTTTATCTCATGCTGAGCTTTCACAAGACACCAGAGAATCGCTTGACTGAGATCATCAAGGAGTTCGACATAGAGTAGACTTCACAGGGATTTTATCAATGGACCCAGCAGAGAGTTAAGGATCCTCTTCAAGAGTCTCTTCTCTCTTCCTTAATCTTTGCTACTTGTCAAATCATTTTCTAGTGGCCACAGAACTTCTGCTAGTAAGTACTACACACCAGCTACTCTGCTTTTTCACTGATCAAGCAGAGACTACAGTGCGAGCCCCATCCAGACAATTCAGTCTCTCTCTGATGTTTACAAAAAGTGAATCCAACACACGTGGAAAGCACACACCCTCTTTTTTTAATACATCTACCTCTGATAAAATTTTCAGGCTGCTCCTGAGTTCTGTGGGTAGGTTATCTCTCCCATTTCTTTGTTCTGTGAATACGCCTTCCAAATTTCAGTACCATATAATCTTCAATTAGGACTCTGCTAAACCCTCCGTTGAGTGAAAACAGTAGAATTAAACCACTAATTTCAGAAATTTGGAATAATTCCCTGTTAAAAAATTCCTTTAAGTTCTTTTCTGAGGCTTCTTCTAGGAATATATACTTGCATATGCAAGGAACAGGTAGCCTCAACAGTCATTAGCAGCCAATTCAGGATGCCTGTAGTATTTAGAGAACAAGTGTCAGCATACTAATTTCGTTTTCATCTTTCTGAAGGTAACACTTCCCAGATTTACTTCTAGCTAAGATTTTTAAAGACACCTACTGTAAAGGAACTGTTAAAATCCAAATTTCAAAAGGAAATTTCTCTGTATATATTATTTTATTTGCATGCAAAATTGCAGCAATTCTGTATTCTGAAGGGCAAATTATAATGTCATAGGCTACTGCAATTATAACTATCACAAGAAGTTCCTCATGAGAAGGGAGGGAATTGGGCTATGAAACAGCTAAAGTACACCCTGTTTAGGCATATATTTTCAAATTAAAAAAAAAAAATCTATTTGTAAGTTAAAGAGGTAAGCATGTTTAATGGAAAGATGAACACATCAATAGCTGTCTTAAAAATAGCATCATCTAAAAAAAGTAGATTTATAAATGTGCTCTCCTTACTGGACTACAATAACACAACTGGCAAACAGATTAATGCCAATAACTGGTGTGGTCCTAAAGGCAAATTATTGCTTTTGGTAGTGGCCTTTTTCAGATGTTCACTGATCAGAACAGTGGCTTGACACTTTCAAACCTAAGATCCAATGACATTCACCTTTTCATTCATAAACTTCTCCTCTGGTGGTAGTGAAGTTGGCATACAGCAACTTGAGCAAGAACAGCACCGTGTTTTAATGACACCATAGGTTATTCGGCATGAGAGCACACCGTGCCTTTTTTGTTTAAGTAGAAACTTTGTACAGAAAACAATTCAAATGTTGTTTAGGATAAAGAAATAGGAAAAAAAGCGAGTACGACATTGCCTTTTGTGTAGCAGTTTGAGAACATAGCTGTGAGATTAGAGGGCTGCATTATAATCCTTGAACTCAGAGCAGAACTGGCTTTGCACAAAGCAGTAACTGAAGGGGACACGCAAGCAACTCATGGAGCAGGGACAGGAACTCAAGCGCACCCTGTTGCAACTAAGCGTTAACCCAGTAGTGTTAACATAAAAGCACCTTTCTCAACTTAGGTGTCTGACACTTCATCACTATTGTGTAAGAACTGTTTGATGATGTATAGACAAGATCAAACACATGGTAACAAAACTCTGAAGTATTGAGAAAATATTAAAAATCCCACAATGGACAATCATGGAGTAACCTCCTAATGCAGACTACTCTAAGTGGTTTAAATCCCTGGGGGAAAAAACCACATGAATTAGTGGGCTGTTATTCTTAAAATGTCTAAGAATTAATTTTGAGTCTCTCATTGCTTGAGCATACTATTGTCTTCTGTTAAATCTATATAAGCTTAACTGAGCACTATACAGAATATGTGGTCTTCCAATTTAATAGACTTACTAGATTTCCAGGGTGTAAGAGCCCCTTTTCATTTATCCACCAGCTATTATTTTGCATGTCTACACATGTATTATCCTATTCAGCATCACTTTCAGTTAAATGGTTCTACTTACATTACATTTTCAGGTATGGTCATGTTTTCATCCATCTGTTTCTGAACTCCTATTTCTATTATTTTCTGAGACAGGTGTACAATTGAAGATATTTTTCCAAGAAAGTGCACACCTTCAATTTATACGGCAATACTACTACCAAGCCCATTCTTTATAAACTCAGCAATACTTTTATTTTTCACTGACACTGATAATTAAAAGGACTTTCACTCACACACCCTTTTCAGCTACCTTCAACATCAGCAGCAAACTCAAAATCCAATAACAGAAATCAGTAGCACGAAATTCCTTCCACTGCACTGCACTGTGTTCATCAATAATTAATTTAACTTACCACTATAATATCAATTCACCATTTTTCCCCCCTTTGGATTCTTCTGTTCCTCAGAATTTTCTCTCTTCCTGACTAATCCAATAACAGTGACAGATTTTGCTTATTTACCAATAATGCCTTTTCCAGATCACTTTCAGATTTGTTGTAAGTCTTAAAAAAGTAGATGAAGGAAAATCTTAAAAGCAGGAAAAACTGAACATCGACTTTCAGTTTTTATTGTAGTATCTTAATCAGGACTTGATTCATGACAACATAATTTTTCAGTTATCTCCCATGAGAGATATTTCAAAACTCATACACTTTAGTAGTCTGGATAACTGTATTAAGCAGAACAATTGTATTAATCGGTTCATTTTACCTCTTCTTCAAAGAATTTTAGAAGACTGGAATAAAATCTTCTGCTATGGAGTTACTAGTACTGGTATCCTCCATTTTACATTCTATTCTACAGCATATTTTATACCATACTTTTAAATTAATATTTAAATCAATGTCACAGTAACCTGTTTATACAAAATTTATAAGATTACACTATTGCCCTATATTTGCTGTTTTCTGCTCCTCTCAAACAGTACATTATTTAAGAATCACAGAATCATATGATGTGGAAAAGACCCCAAATGGTGACCCTGTGCAACCTCTTGCTCAAAGCAAAGGCAACACTGAATTCAGATCAGCTTGCCCAGGAGACTTTGTCCACTTGTATCTTGAAAACCTCCAACGACAGGAACGTGACAAACCTGGGCAACCTGTCCCAATGCCTAACTGTCCTCATTTCCTTATTTTGAATTGGAGCCTCTCCTGTTCCCACTTGTGCTGTTTCTCGATCCTCTGCAATGCACCTGAGTGGAAAGACTGGCTCTATCTTCTCGATAATCTCCTCTTAGGTATATGAAGGTTTCCATTAGGTCCTCCTAAGCCCACAGCAGATGACATCCAACATTCTCCTTTCATCTTCAGATCTAGTTATTTTGCCACAGAGGACAATCCAGTTGGTCAGGCATGATTTATCCTTAGTAAATCCCAAGCTGGCTATCCCGTCACCACCTGCTCCTTCTTATGTCTATAAATGGCTTCCTCCATGATGGAGGTGGAAGGATTGAGGCTGACCAGCCTGTAGTTCTCTGAATTGTGTTTCTTGCCCTTTTTGAAGAGGAATGTAAGATTTGCCCTTCTCTAGTCTTCAGGGATCTCCCCCAATCTCATGGCCTTTCAAAGATGACAAAGAGTAGCTTCACGAAGATGCTGTCAGCTCTCAGCACCCTCGAATGCAGTCCACCTGGGCCCATGAACTTCTCAGGTAAACAATTCCTGCTTCAATCTTCTTCCACAACTTGTAGTTCCTCCTCTCCTTGAACCCTGCCTTGTGGCAAAAGGCCTAGGAGACGTTGTTGGTTAAGTCTGAGGCAGAGACACTAACTATCTCACCCTTATCTGTGCCTGCTATCACGAAAACACTTGTCCCACTCCGCAGTGACACCACGTTTTCCTTGTGAATCCTCTTCCTGATAAACAGCATCTCATTCTGCTGACATCACTTGCTAGTTTCAAATCTAGCTTTGCTTTGGCTTTTCTAAGAGCACCGTCACATGCCCAGGCAATATTTGTACATTTGTCCTTTGCAGCCCATGCCTCCACTTCCACCTCCTGTACGTGTCCTTTTTGCACTGCAGCTCTGTCACAAGTTCCCTGTTTAATCAAGCCCATTTTTCTGTTACAGCTGCCTTACCTTTCTACAAAATGTTTTTCTCATGAACAGTTGTGTTGCCACAAAAATCAGTTTCATGAAAAACATTTATTCAAGTAAATGAGATAATCATACCTACGCAATTGAGATTTGCTAATCTCTGCTACCACCAAGCTTCAGTATTCTGCAAAAATGGACCTGAAGATACAGTTTGAATAGACGTCACTGCCCCTTCGTTTTAAGTCACTGGTATATTTGTTATATCTCCATTACTGTTTTCACCTTTCCCTAATTCAATGCCTACTGAAATTTAGCAGGTTAACAAATTCACTAGGTATCATCCTCCTGGTAATTTCTCAGTGGAAGAATCAAACTTAGTTAAAACTGAATTTCTGAATTAGTTACACCAAAGCCACAACCCGATCCTTCACAACATACTTGCTGCAAATTTCTCCCTGACGTTTCCTTTAAGAACGAAGGCAAGGCCTCTCATCTCAAACTCACACCTTTTAAAATAAAACGCTTAGGAGATTAAAACGCCACCATCTTTTAATCAAAAAATATCCTCTGCTATGGTTGAAAGTCGTATGCCCTGCACTACACAGACATCATCTCTATCTGGTCTGGTTTCTCCCTAATCGCCGTCCTCACCGGCGGGCCGGTGCCGCCTCCGTTACAGAGCCCAGCCCGCGGCCAGTCCCGGTCACAAGGCAGCAGCGGAACCTCCCGTTTCATTGCGGCGCCCGGGCCCCGCGGCCGGCAGCAGCCCGGGCAGCTCCGCACGGCTCCCCGCCCCGGCACAGACCCAAGCGGCTCCGGGGACCCTCCCGCACCCGTGACCGCCCTGGCTCGGTTTTCTCAAGGCCGCGGCGCCGGGCGCGCCCGTGTGCCCAGGAAGGACCGTCCCTCCAGATGGCAGCAGGAGAGACCCCAGCACCCACAGGGCCAACGCGG